ATCTCGTGAACAGCTCGGTTTGCGTGCCGCAAGATGGATATAAATTGTTAGCCAGGCGTAAGAGCGATTGTGACTCTTGCTGGGACCAGCGGGTACCGGAATACTTCACTCGGCCAAGCTTATCTGCATTATGCTGGGTGGGGTGTGCGTGCCGGCGGTGTTGACTCAGGCCAATCTTCGTCGGAAAAAGGCGGGAACAATCAGCGCAAGCCAATTGGGCGACTGTGTTCGTACCAACACTTTCATTGTCGTGAACTCGATGATGGGCTACAAAGCCAGCTTTCGATTTGCAGCACTTGCCACATTCCTCACACGTGAACCAACGAGTCTCTCTTTGTTCGCTACCTTCTTCGTTCTAATGATCTCAGATAACGATATCGCCTTGCTGGAAGCTTGCTTTTTTGAGAACCTTAGCGGTCCTGCTAGAGGAAATCGACCGTTCAGTTGTCGGGCCTTATTTTCATCCATGCTGTCTTGCTTTTTGTTCTAGCATCACATCATAATATGGATTATAGTGACTCTTGAACTTTCGAACCCACCCATATGGCACATAGTATGTTCCAGGTACTACAGATTAACGCTATCCATATAATGGATATTATGTCCACGAAGGGTTATACGAGAAAGTTGACAAAAACCACTGCTTTCCATACAGGGTTCGGTCTCAGGCATTCAAGATCAACCATCTCATACTCGTACGAAAAGCTGTACTACCCTTGACACGACGGGACCTGAAAAGGCCAAGTGCTACTGAGGTAACAGAAGTTTGCGAGGAGCAGAATATTCGGTGAAAACTGTTTTGGTGGGCGAAGGGTTTGTATGACTTTAGTCAGTGTAGGTATGTACATGACAACGGTTCTCTTCATGCTAATGCTCCAGCCGGAGTGTGCCCCAGATTTCTCAGCCACGAAAACGAGAATACAAATGGTCTAATGATGCAAGGGTGTTGCACCGGCACACAACATACCGTCAAATCGGTGAACCCACAATCGACTTTTGAACTAACGTTGTCTTTCACGATAGCCCCCTCTACAGTAATCGGTCGGTGGAGGTAAAGGACGGCAAGTTTAAAGATACAGTCCTGCTTTATGACAAACAATTTCACTGTGCTTTAGATAACGACGCATTTTACAACTCCTCGACTTTCAGTATAGGCTTTTTGTTCAGCCAAGTGATATAAGTCATTTGGAGGGGTTCGTGCTCCAGGTCGGCGCGTTCTTTAGAATTTTTCTTAGAGAGTAGAAGCACCGTAGCATAATTACTATAGAAACACAGAAAACGGCTAACATTACGCATATCTCCATTCTGTAACATCAGACACTGACATTTGTAGTTCATCACGTCCATTTCGGATAGCGTTTCACACAGTAAAATCTATGACCTTTCCGTAAATCGGCGATTCATTTCGGCTTCTTAAAGTTCTTTACGGAGCCGTTCTCAGGGAGGATAAATTTTAAAAATGTTTCGCATGTTGTGCTAAAGATGATGTCAGTTTAGAGGAAATCGAACAATGTAGGAGTATAAAACGCATAGACACCCTTGTGCTACTGATGTCGGAAATAAAGTATCTGTATGCTTGCAAATGCAAACACAACAGGTTCATAATTTGTTTAAATATTGGTAGCTCGGGTGAGTTTATTGGTTTTTGATCAGGTGACTGTTGATCTGTTCGCCGAGCTTGGAAATTGGCTTGCAAACGTTTCGTCACCATACGAGGACACGTTCAAGCGGATCGAGACACACTGCAGCACAACAGAATCCAAGATCAAAGAAGAAAAGCGCCTATACAGATTGTTTCAGAAAAATGGATACCCGAGGAATTCCATCTGGAGAACACTCAGGAAGCCAAATACGATCGATGCAACAGGACAAAATGGAAGAAAGCGAGTCACACTTTCGTACATCAAGAACACCGCTGAAATGACGGCAAGGCTCTTACGACAGCACAATATATTGGTCGCTTACAAGCCTGCGAGCACTCTAAGGAGGACACTATCAAGACCAAAAGGGAAATTAGATCCAATGGCGAAGAACAATGTCATATACAGGATCCAATGCAAGGACTGCGACAAACGGTATGTAGGACAAACAGGAAGGAAGCTCTCAGCCAGAATACATGAACACAAGCTCGCCACCAAGAGGCACGATCAGTTCTCCCTCATCTCTGCACACAAAGATCAGGAAGGACACGAGTTCGACTGGAGCGGCGTCTGCATATTGGCTCAAGCAAGAACAAAAAACGAACGCGAATTTATGGAAGCATGGTACTCCACCGAAGAGGCGATCAACAAACACATTGAAATTGATCCCATTTACCAGCCACTAAGAGCGAGAGAACTCCAGAACCACCGAACTTAAAGCTGCAAAATCAACCAGACGAGGAAATCATAAGAGAAGGAGGAAAACATCATTCAAACGGACACATCAATTGGATTGGAAGAAGCGCCCAATCAAAGCACCAAATCAACCGACGGGCGAAGGGACGCTGACTGCTACGGTGGAGGAAATAGGGCGGCACAAGCAACCAATCAAACTCAAGAACGTCAGACCACAACGCAATACAACCCGAGGCCGGAGAGAACGAACTACTAAAAATAGAAGGCGTGAGAGTAACCAATCGACACAAAGGAACGCAGACCACAACGCAACAAAGATCACAAATGAACCAATAGGTTCAACAAATTTGTTACACGTTAAGTAGCCAATCACTTCAGAAGACAACAGATAGCCCTCGAATGCTATATAAGCACCCGCAGGCAAGGAAGAAGTACCCACTCAACTGCGCACTGATGATGTCTCCTCGTATGGTGACGAAACGATTGCAAGCCAATTGCCAAGCTCGGCGAACAGATCAACAGCCACCTGATCAACAACCAACAACGGGTTCAGTTTTAATGTAAGTTCTAATTCTGAAGAAAAATTGCATTCCTGCTCTTCTTAGATGCTGAGTTGAAAAAACTCATCTCTGGAGATGGCAAGCAATGAGCGATAAGAAAACGATGTTCCCCAAATGACAAAGCACACAGGCAAAACTTTACAGTAAGCTCCAAGGAGACCTTTGGGTTCAAGTATTTCATGAATTGCGCATCTTCCTGCTATTTTGGTTGTAGTCTCGGTTTTATTTCACTTAACTGTATAGACTTAGAACTTAAAACTCGCAGGGGGTCTGGTGTGACCCCCAAATGGATGCCAAATGGTTGATGTAGAAGAAGGATTCACGAGTTCGCTGGGCTTGACAGTCTTGGTACAAATGTTGGCTGTCGGCAGAATATCACCAACACGACTGGTGAGCTCAAGAGGGATTCATCGTCGCAGTAAAGGTTCATATGACAGGAACAACCATGCGATGAATAGGAGAAAGTAACGTTCGAAGAGGTAGAGCAGGTCCGAATCAACGTACATCTGGACGTCGATTGATCAGACGAGACCACTGACAGAACCAACCATCTAGCCTCGCACTCGGAGATCAGTCCCTGGTCAAAAGATGTGCATGAATACAAGCGCAACACCGACCACACCAACACAACGACCAGCTGCCTAATCACCATGCACCGCTATCCAAATTATGTCACTTCGATTGCAGACGGGATATCTGCAACAAAACTGTAAAAATCACTGAACAAATCAACCATCATGCCTGGGATCCCTATTGGTGATGTTGAGGTTTGTGCTCCGTTCTCATAACTTGTGAATGTACCCCAGCAGATATATGTTGAAAAAGACTGACTGTGGAGATGATGGAGAGCAGAAACTTAAGCTCTTTAGCACAGTCCATTGGATAGTATTAAAGTTCTCCAACTTATTTGCAAAGCTGGGTGTATTGACTTTCAATTGACTGACCACCGAGTCATATAACAAAGTCAAAGCGTTACCTGAATAAATGCCTCTGCTGCAACGGCGCTTGCAAAATCAACCGAGCTTTCGTCTGCCAAACCTGGCTCCTGGCTAACCAGCAAGGGAACTTCAGAGGCTTCACTTGTATCTTCAAGGTAATTCAAGACTGCCTGAACTTCCTCAGGATAGGATTGCCCTAAGTAGGCAGCCGCTCTAAAATGGGCGACGGAGTTCCACGCTTGGTCCCATGCACGAAGCCCGCGCTGCAGATCGCGCGTTCGGTGCACCCGAGAGTCAGGTTGTTCACAGAGGTAAACAGATGTAGTCGAGTTTCTTTGCTGCGAGGTCGTTGAAGGAGATTCCGGAAGTGCCTCCTTAGGTATAGGTACGTTGGACAGGTTTGAAAACAGTAATTCGAGTTTCCTGCGTGCCCTGAGGTCAATGGATTCTTTAAGGGCCGTACTGATATTCTTGGCAAATTCTTCTAAGTAGTCAAGGTGAAACTAGAATGGAATCCAAATGAAATGCACTACAATCTAATCAGCTTCAGGGTACAGATCAGCTATATGTAAACTATATATAAAAGTGTATATATATATACTATCCAAAGTCGTAAAGTGATAGCACATGCCACCCAGGACAAACAGCGAGCAAATCACTGAAATTTGTTAGTTTTCAGTGTATAGGTTTTGGTAAAAGCAATCAAGACTAAAACAAAACCCGCTTTTTGTACGGCGTTTCAGTAGTTCAAATGGTACTTTTCTGTTGGTGGTAATGTCAGTAAAAGATTATTTTGGGCCACAATGGTGGATCTCGCTGTCTCTACTGCAAGTGGGGGTTGGCAATTTCGACTAAGGAGGAAGCCTAACAGCAGCCGACTCATTTGTACTTGACACGGTAGTGTCAGACACAAGCATGCTTCATATAACTTCTGGATAGTATTCAACTCTTTGACGGTAAACTACTGCGAAATATGCTGGAATTGAACAATGTTCCAAAATACCTAGTCAGGCTGCTTAGATCACTCCGAGTGAAGACGAAATCCGAGTTTACCAAAACTGTCTCTGTGTTGTTCACCTTCCCGGCCAAATACGACAGATTTCCGAAGTGGATGATCCAAAATCAATGTACAGGTCATATTGTTTCAACTAGCAGAAGGCAGTGTTGCTCCTGTAGTAGATCACAAAATTTTACAGAAGGTCCGTGTCCTCGGTCAGGTTGTGTTTTTTGCAACGAAGGGTCGCTGGAGATGAACACAGTTACATTGGAATACGTATGCAAGTCATGTACTCTGGAGGAGCGCTTCATTTATACACTCAAGTCGGAACCGAATTCCAGTGACGCCACTGGATTCGACCGGACAATTCAACAGCGTCAACTCTGATGGTCTGGTCGTCACTGCCAAGAAAACATTCAGATTCATGCTTGCTCAATATCTGTTTCATTGTTGATGTAAGTTCAGGAAATGAGGCAGAATCGTAAATTCTCACCTCCAAGTCCGACACACAGTACCGAAATTTGTAAACCGTCTGTGGCCTGTACCAATACGACTGACTGCGAGTCGACAAGGACCATCATGCTTGGACAACCTGAGCCGATATATTCAAATAGTCTGCTCCTCACACAGACAATCGAATGGGGTTGTATAGATGCAAACTACTTCAGCTTTCACAATGTGTGGCCGGTTTAGGACTCCCCAACTGACCAGATTGATCGATTCAATGTGATTAAAACTGGGTCGCTGTTTAACCCTTATGAGACGTTATCTGACTGTAAGGTCGACAGATATCCATATATTGTGTGAGCATTTGTTTCCCGATCAATACTTGTGCTATGTAACTAAACTATTACCTCCTGAACTGCTGTTCTTTAGACCAGCTTTTTATCCCCATCAACCAGACTCCCGATCTTTGTTCGTCATCACATCTGTATCGTCTATTTTTTGCTGAAAATCGTTTTTCATGGATACGTGCATGGTCCACTAGTGATTGTCAAATCCACTCCGGGTCCCCATTGTTAATGAGCCAAGCAATACAGGTTGATGAATACACATTGATTTTTATTCCTCGGTAATCTGGCGGTCTACAATCCTTTTTACGACAACCTTCCCAGTAAGACAATTAGAAAATTATGGTGACACACAAACCTATGAATTGGAACCGCCAGAAAAAGTTTTAAAGCGTCACCGGCTGTAATGAACTGAATAAACTGACTTCCCACATTCAAACAGCCAAACAAAACGTGCTCAAACCTCTCTTTCCAGTCCGTTCGGTTTCCTCCACAACACCTTCTCTTTCAAATACCCATCCGAATATTTCTTTCTCACGGCATTCCGTATAATGCCAAGTTTGTTGTGTAGATACACGTCTAACTTTGTCGTCTGTTCGCCTTCGGTAAAGTTAGGAGGTAGAAGATCCGCAAAATTCCTCGCCTGTTCATCGTCCAAAAACTGTACCAGATCAATGATTTGGCGCTCAAATACGACGGGTAAAAAGGAGGACCTTTCAACCGACGGAGATTCAGCCAGTTCCTGGTCTATCTTGAGTGAGCACTGGGACTGACAAAGTGTGTCTCTAATCTCCAAAGGCAGTCCATGATGCAACTCTGTAATAGTTGAGGAGGGAAGAGAGAATAAAAGCAGTGGTCCCGATGATTCATCTAAAAGTAACACATCATTTCTTCATAATATGGAAAGCATCAAACCTCAATTGATCAACTTCGATGCCCTACAAATGTCGCGTTGTTTAACAACGAAATTCCAATTTAAAAGCCTATCATCTATTCGTGCTCTCATAACTAAAAGCTAAAATCAGCAAGTAACTTGTTCAACCCAAATCGGTTTTGAATTTTCCACGGAAAATTCATGTCTTTTAAGGAACACGGGAAGTACACGACTTCGAAAGTTAACAAAAAGTTATAACAGCCTGATACACCACTCGCTCAACTCCTCTTTTTCAGATACACCGTTAGAGAATAGTGTGCAGTAGAACTGCTATCCAAACCCTGCACTCAAGCACATCCATTACACGTTGATTATCAACTTTCACAGACATTTGTTTACTACAGCCCCCGATTTATCTTCTATCAACACCTATTATTTTGGTTGCATTCTACCATCAGATTGTCTGCCACAAAAGGAGCTCTTTTGTGGGAAACCGTCGGTGCGGTGGGAAATACTGTAGAACAGTTTGAGCGATATCCTCCAAACAGATATGATACCCAAGGAGCAACAATCATGTTTCTATCTCTGTGTTCCAATGGTAGGCTCCCTCTAAAGTGCTCAGTTACGCACCTTGATATAAAAAACCCCAAAGTCCTAATAAACCACCCACACATCCTATTTACCTCTCATATTGCAAATTTTTCGTATGGCCTCGAAGCTACACCACTCGCTCAACTCCTCTTTTTCAGATACACCGTTAGAGAATAGTGTGCAGTAGAACTGCTATCCAAACCCTGCACTCAAGCACATCCATTACACGTTGATTATCAACTTTCACAGACATTTGTTTACTACAGCCCCCGATTTATCTTCTATCAACACCTATTATTTTGGTTGCATTCTACCATCAGATTGTCTGCCACAAAAGGAGCTCTTTTGTGGGAAACCGTCGGTGCGGTGGGAAATAGTGTAGAACAGTTTGAGCGATATCCTCCAAACAGATATGATACCCAAGGAGCAACAATCATGTTTCTATCTCTGTGTTCCAATGGTAGGCTCCCTCTAAAGTGCTCAGTTACGCACCTTGATATAAAAAACCCCAAAGTCCTGATAAACCACCCTCACATCCTATTTACCTCTCATATTGCAAATTTTTCGTATGGCCTCGAAGCGTAGTGTAGTTATATAGTATAGTATAGTATAGTAAAAAATTGTCACGATATGCTAACAGAAAGCGGGTATAATAAAAAGTCAGACACCACATGTTTATCCATTGCTTTACTCACAAGTCTGTATGATTAGAAGCATTACACCGATTACTTAGGTTGAAGGTTACGTAATATTTATCTGAATATGTGTCAAGTACATAGAAGTAAGCTACTCCGAATGATAAGACTAGAGTGATCCAAAAGCCGGCAAAGTCCTTTGCTCCTAGCGCCACAATTTCCGAGATTCTGGCTCAAATTCACGCCTATTTCTCGCTAAATGTATGAGAACCTCACTAATCCGGTCATGCATATACTGCAGACTCACCTGTGATAAATAATTGTTCAAATTCCTCAGCCTCAACGAGACCTTCTTCCACACACAGGGACGCACAGTAGTACAGGACACGAACCAGGAAGTTACGCGTTTCGTTCCAACTTCTCAGGGCTTCTGTTCGTTCTTTTCTGTCCTGAAATGAAATACGGTGTCAGCGTGCGTCTTTGGTTCAAGTCATACAGTCTATGGAACCAGCAGTACAGAAAAATATTGTCCTCTGCGACCTTCAATTCGCAAACTGTATTTCCAAATACCTCTGCTATATGCATCAAAACGAGGTTAGCGGCCTGGAGTTACTAAACAAGGAGCGTGAGAAGTAATTGTGTACCAATTCTCAAAGTGCAACACGGCGTCAGGTGCTTAAACAGGCTTAAAATATAGCCGTTTCTGTACTAGCCGAAATGTATTGCGTCAAGATTCAGAACGCCTGCATATATCAGTCCGGTCTTAAACTTTCCAAAAGAGTATGTATGTGTAAACATTTGGCACAGTGAGTGCATCAAAAACAATAATGCAGATAGATAGGGTTAATGTCATTGTCAGTCCGTCAGGCAACCAAAGTAGATCACGGACCCTCCTTATGTTCATTTCCAGTACCTTCCGCCTCACAGAATACCCCACCTAAGAACGAATCTCCGAGCTGCTTTGTGGACAGAAACGTGCTGCCAGAACCATCGGAAAGAAGTGCATAATAAAAGTGAGTCTCCATCTAGTTACCTTTTTAAACGAATTGGAGCAACTGTTCTTTCATACACCATGAGTTTGGTCGGTCACTGTGGGGGTTGTCACAAGAAGATAGGCTGTGAAGTTATTCTAGTTTAAAGCTCATTGTTACAATGGGTCTTAGGGGTATGCCTTCATCTAAAGAACGGTTAACGGCTCGATACTCGTTCAGCTGGTGCTCCGTTGGAGAATTCCTGTACGACATGAATCGGAAACGCTACTGACCGTGGTCTAACATAGAATATGAAGGCAGGTGCTCACTAATCGATATTTCAGCATCCTTTCGTTCCTTTTGGATTACTGCCTATCGTATTTCAAATGTGAGCTTGACAACTAATAGCGCAAAAGCTATTACCTACCCTATAAGCTGCTAACACGCCTTTTGACCACAAAGTCAACCGCACAAAACCGGAAGAGAGAACCGACCGCCAGCAAATTACTAAATTTAAATCCCTGAATTTAAAAAAAGGCGCACATTTAATCGCTACACTTGGTATGCACACAGGTCGATCAACTGGGAAGTTTAGCTGAGTACGCCGAATCATAAGAAATGGATTGGACAGCAGAGCAGCCACTTACATTCCGGCCGGTATGTTTCTAAGTTTGAATTGTATTTATAATATCATAAACCAAGGAAAGGTGCTGCAAAAATACCCCTCGGCCATCTGGTGATTCCTCGGGATTTCTAATTCATTTCATTGCTGACAGACGCAACATTGCGTTTTGTTCTTGTAACTGTATATTGTAGATCATATTCCCAGCCGGCCTTCAACCCCATTTTCTGTGGTGATGTATTCACCAGTGATTCAATGATACTCCACGAAATCGCCTTCTGGTGGGAATGGCTATTGATCTATTGTAACTAGCTATGAAAACCTTTTGCTCTGTGGAATTTGCTGTACATCTAGCTGATCCAGGCCACTTTTCATTGTGTGGTTTCTACTCTTTGGAACATCTAAAGCTTCAAGGTACGCCAGATGGTATGGAATTCAAAACTTCTTTGTCGGTTGGCTTCTGATTTATTTGCGCTACGAGGAACAATAAGGGTGGCACGATTTCGTTCCCTTACGGAGAGAGACTACGGCTTTACTGAAACAACTAGGGTGGAAAACACCCTAGTTAGAGAAGAAAGATTGCACGAAATAGTTAGCTATTTATGAATACATTTACCTCAGCGTGGTATGGTATGGTGTTGTAAGGCCAGTGTGAACAAAAAAACAGAGAAAGCCAAGCACAAGCAATCACCCATTCACTGCTTACATTCGATCTTATTGACGGAATAAGATTTTCCAACGGTCTCAGCACCCACTTCGAATTGGGAAGGCAGTTATCGTCCAGTTCATACCACAATCGCAGATCAGTTTTGTGCAGAGTTTTCCAGTAGGAATTGTGTCTCTTTGACCTTATCTGCTGTTCGATCCGCTCAAACACTGCCTCCGGGATTTCGAGCGGCAGAAGGGGCAAGCCATACTTTTGTCCAAGCAGTATCTGTGAGTGAAAATCGATAAAAATGCTTACCTAGATAGTTGCGTTATGACACATAACTGCGACTGACACATTACAGATGACGCCATCCTGTGTTTGATAGTTTCTTGTATCATGGTGTCCCAATCAGTAAGTGACCATGTGATATAGTTTCTGTAAGTGAAGGATAAGTGACGCTATGTCCTGTCTAAATGAGAGTTACTCACACTGTTGATCAGCTGCTCGTGACCGAACGGTTAAGTACTCAACCACTAAACAGTAGATTGCGGGCCTTCAGTATGCCTTAAAAGAAGGTAGACCATTCATTGCAGTGGGGTCTAAATAGAGTTTGCTACCGCTGCGAAAGATATAACACTATACTGAAACCAGAGATGTACCCTCGCCTCACTTCGGTCATCAGTAATGATGGATGTCGTGGTGAACCATCCATGGAACTGTCATCTCTATGACAGGAGCTCATTCAAATACGCATGCTCTTCGAAATCTGGCACAACAATACTTCGTAGATAATCGGGCATTGATTTGCTACCAGACGACAGAGGCGTTCTTTCTGGGTTTTACTCCTTCCTACGGTGTAGATGTTGTGAATCAGGTGTGTTTATGGAATCAACTATCGACACTGAAAACATTACCATTCCCAGTCTTTGATTGGGTAGCAATTAACATGTGAAAATCACAACGATGGCAGACCTGCCTCTTGCTAGTATCAGTGTGTCGAGAGACTGTGAAGTGATGGAGACCTGACTGAAAAAAGCCGGGATGAGCCAGATTTTAAAGACCACAATTTAGGCACTCATGATATCTGGCATGAATACTGCTCAGCGCGCCCATTTATTAATTGGTGGTAGAGTGAGCAACTTACCAAAGTACAACAGTTTTCGTCGCATTTCGAGAAATTTCTGCATAATTCGAGGAACGTCTCTCTGTAGTGCACCAACTCAAGGGGTAGCGAGCTGTCCAGTGGTCGTGGATCGATTATCTAGGTTTTTTTGAAAACGAAATGAAGTTCAATCATACCTGATAAACTGGGATATTATTCGCTGAGTAACAGAATTCAGATTAAGTGGAGCAAAATACTGATGAGCCTCGTTCGCAGTGAGATAAAACTTCGTACTGTGCAGTCAGCACACGTGAAAGTGGCGATCACCATCAACCACAGATCAGCGTGGAACACAACCATTTTACCGAGTTCGAAATTTAAAACAATTAGAATCACACGGATGTCATCTAGAAAGACCGGTTGCACAGATGCCACCCAAACTTTCCTCATTCATTCATCCATTTTATTGCCTCACTGTGAATTAGGCAAGGCAGGCTACCGATGACCCAACATGACTAATCCACCGTTGCTTCTGGCGCTGGACACATTCGTCAATGGAAACTTCTGCTTCACCACTGACCACTCTTTGCAGACACAATGTCAAAGGCTTACACCAACCGTAGTTCCGAGACAACAGTTAGCAAGCATCAACCATTGCCTCATTTCAGTTATTCGAAGAGGGCAAGACTAAAACCATGCAATAGAACAACCTGTACTGTACCTGGTATGCGCGTATTTTAGGACTCATAAATGCGACGCTTTTAAAATAGGTCTCCCAGATTAGCAAATGCGATGCTAGCCTTAGCGATTCACCCTTATCTGTCACATTGTACTTGGAGCTTATAAGATCCTCAAGACACGTCAAGAGTTCCACAAGTTCAAATGCTTTCTCTTGGATTACAGATGGGATATTCGGTGAGCGCACGTTCGCCAGGACCACCTCACTTTTCATTGATGCAAAACGTACGTCGAAGGACAGGGTGAATTTGGTCCGTCCGCACAAAAACGTTCGAACTTCGTTCTACTTTTCGAAGACAAGAGTAGTGTCATCTGCATATTTCATGTCAGCAACGTCTCACCAGCACCTATTTGAATCCCGGGGTTTTGTAAACCCTAAGTCGTTTGTGTCATCCTATCGAGCACCAAATGGAGTATAAAACTGCTTTGCTCGATTTTTCAGCGTTCTTGGTAGTATTATTCCAAAAAGGGTGCAGGTAAAATGCGCTGACAACGATGGGACATCCTTTGCTTTTGCTGGTTACTTATCACGGGTGAGCAATTGGCAGCAGTCTTTTGAACCCTAATCATTTCGATCCGACACACTGTGTCATGAATGGGCCTAAGGTGTTTGAACAAGGAATATTGGTCACTGAAACTTGACGAATGTAGCTCACAGAAAGGAATTTTGTGTTGAACTGAATATCCACAGAAAAACAGTGCCACAAAAAAGAATATACCATGTATATCAAACCGGTTTTGACGGGGGACTCGATGGAATCCAGCGATTCTCCCGCTTATAATGGTCTTTTCAAATTATGGGTGCTGCACCGAGCTGCCTGATGTTTCATTTGGCACAATATTCGAGAGATCACAATACATTGTCTAGACATAACACACTACACATAAGGTTGCTGAAAAATCCTCGGCAGTCCACGACCGGTTTCACCCTTCTTGGGGTCCACCAGTTTGGTGCAGTTTTCCGTCAACTTTATGTTCCACTTGAACTCAAATTGTATAAAAACCGCCAAATACTCTCATTCGTACACAAATTTAGTCATCAGTGATGGTTACAGACATAAAAAGTATGATTTGACAAAACAGACAGCAATCCAATACTTAGACGACAGATGGACATGAAAGAATATGTATTTCAGGGATTACGTAAGTTCGACTGCGTAAAGTATGGAATTCAAAGATTACAGAGATTAATTTATCACCTCATTGCAAAAACTGAACATATTTCAGTGATATTTGATCAGTTTATTTCATACACACGATTTCCTCAACAAAAAAGCCACTTGCCTCAAGGTTAAGTCCATACCGTTCTTTTGTGTGTTGCTTCAATTCCGGGTAGACTCTTTCTGCCAAGAAGCGTCGTTCGAGCGAAAAATCTGTAATGATGATAAAGTACGCTGTAAAGTTCATACTGTACACAAACATTTGCAATGTACACATTTTCCAAAAATCTGATCCACTTTCTTCGCAAAGTTTGGGAAGAGTATTGCCGGCATGTCTAAATATTTGTTCCTCAATCGCTATTACCGGTTGGTAATCCGGTGGCACTGAACTTAGCAGTTGGTTTACGTGCAAACCAAGGTGTATGTTTGGAGTAGTTAATGAGAGCAACAACTCATTTTCTTCGGCCCGGAGTATCCAGTGACCTATCGGTCGTCTGGTATTCAACGGGTCGCATAATCACCAGGTCATCAGAAATTAGCAATACGAGTCAGGAGCAACATCACATTTGCCGTTAACTATCAAGCTTTGTATCGTTCGCCGAGAAAAATTAGAATTAAGTTCATTTAAGGTAGTTTAAGCAATAGTACTTTAATATAGTATGTGTATACATATTATCCTGCCTAAGCGTGAGTTAACTGCAGTGCTGATCAGCCACTCGTGGACGGTGCGTTTAGCGCTCAAATTACTAACAGGGCAAAGTTATGGGTTCCAAACTCCTTGGGGGGTTTTTGAAAGTGCACTGCTGATGATCCTCAATAAGCATGAAACAATTGTAGAGTGCTTCTCGGGAGAGATTGGCTTCCCCGACAGAACAAAATATCTATTGAAAATAACCTAATTCTCCACACTACCAATAATTGGGTTTCGTTGATCCTAAATACTCCAAAAGGTCTGAGACGGATTCGAAATGGCTTAGTTTCAGCACCTTGTACCGTTTTCAACATCAATTTTTGTGCTTTGCAGTCATGAACGCTATTTAACGTGGGCGTTCTACCGCCTTCGTTCCGGGGGGGGGGGGGCGGCCTTATCCAGCGAATCAAAAACGATGTGGTCGACCCCTCATCCAGCGAATCAACGTACGATGGAAAACATTGAATCGTTAGGACAGTCTGTAAGACAGATATTCTATAATACAGACAACCAAGGATTTAGTGATCGATCAGGTAGGTGAAATGATAACTCGATCGAATTGATCGATGCTTCGTTCTCATTTGAAATTCCCGGTTGGTTGACCCGGGGCAGAATCCGGGTGATGCGATCGAACGTGACATGAGTGCTATCATCAGTGCTGTCATCTAACAACCTCTGACCGGTGCGTGGTACCTCGGTTGGATTATGAATGAATAACAAACATAACGGTGTTTATTTCGCGACGTTTCACACAATGCATGTAGCCTTCCTTATGAGTGGAATAATCCGAATCAGGATAAACCAAAAAAGCAAAGCTGATAGGCACCATCACAAGGGTATTATACGTCCCATTTTGTTTTGAAGGTAGTGTGGGATGAACTGAAATTGCACTTGAAACAATATTCATACTGTCAGCTCCGAGTCACGCTGGATAGTGATTTAAGACACTGAGTGCAAATCATGGGTACACCCGAAAGACAACACCTCGCCTTTCATCACTAAACAAGATTGTTTGACTCGTGCTGCTAGCAAACACCCGCAATTTTAAAGGAAACTTTCTTTCGGCAGGTGCCTTAGGGAAGAGTGGAAGCTTGCTGTCGTGTCCTGACTGCATATGAAGGTCACCGGTAGGTGTCAATCGTTCGGCTGGCGAACTTGCATCGGTCTCACCCACCATGTTTGTCCATTCGCGATCAACGCGCACTCAGCTTTTGCTAGCTCAAGCGGCCTGTCTACACCGCACTTCTGAGGCAACCAGATGCATCGCGTACCCCTGATCGTCTGTCACTACTGCAACGGTGTTGTGTTCTTCCCGCGGTACAGTAGGATTGAGTGCGCGGCTTGCAGATGTCCGTCGCACACCCACAAACGTCAGGGTAGAGCGGCTCCGCGCAGAGATGCGTGCACCCAGCACAGGTGCGCACGTGCGAACATTAGTGCGGAAATGCGACGTACGCATTGGATGGCGGGAAAACCCAATGAGACGTTCGGGTTTTGAAGATGCGGTGGCGTCAAAGCGGCAGTTGGAATGGCAGTGGGACGCACAGATGCCGGATACGGCTCTATTCCACACAGAAATTATTCCACTGTTATGGGCATGGACATGCATTACAGTTTCCTAAACAATATTTACGTCCATAAATGGTTTGTTGATCTGTTCATTTTTCGCTGATAGTTTGTGCTGGCCCGCCATGCTAATCAACTTGCTTTTTCAAATAGGTTTCTCTCTAAGTCAAGTTTGCACCAGAATGCGCTTTTGCAGTTAAGGACAAGGGATAAAAAGGCATAGTGTGAGTCGAAATCTAGGCTTATCCCGGATCGCATCAGCAATAGTCCGGACAGTGCTCAGCTGTACAGAAGCCCAAAGGCTATTGGTGGACTGAACCAGAGAGCGTGAACCAATCCACCATCGGTGGCTATCAAACAGCTTCTCACAGATGAAGTTCTAGATGAGGCAACGTTCGAGATAATATCAGCCAACTTTTCATATACTGAAGAAGGGAGAATAATACGGATCGCCAGTTTTAGCCGGCCAAGAAATGAATAGAGAAGTTTGATCCGATCCTGGTACCCCTTCACGCAGTTACTGCACTGCTATGTTGACATTCTGTGTCTAATCGCTGACATCATGACCGATTTGGGCGAAACTGGAGAATAAGCGGAGTTTGGGGCATCGAAAGTGGTGATTCTTTCCCGAAACTACATGAAAAATCCAAAATAGCATTGCACATGAACCTGCTGTGCGAATTTCCTAGAAACCAGTTCTCCTCAACAGAACTGCTGGATTTCGCCACATCCAATGAGCTAAAGAGACCACCGCTAGTGAGCCACCACATCACTAAATAATATACTCGTTGAGTAAGGTAGCCAGCCGGTCGAGGGAATTAGGGAATCCGATAACTTGGTGAGAGGTTCGGCCACAACTGGAAATTCCGGTATTGGGAAGCAGCAACAGACACCGCGACGAATTTGCTTATTATTAGACCACAAACAACCTGTTAGGAAGCCCAGTATTTGAGTGCCAAAGGTCTCTGTCCTTAGCTAAATATTACAACTGTTTGTATATTCGTCTTGGAATCGCGCGCTATAATATAACAACAATAGTGGCAACAACTAGAAGAATAAATTACCCAATGAACAAACAGTCCAGATGCATTGAGTAGAAAATTCTTCAACCTGAGTGCCCATGCATACCATTCATACGCATAAGGGTAGAAAACAAAAACGTACCTACATATGCCGAACAAACAAATACATATATTGAACGTGGGCTAATCGCTGGTAATTCCTCAGGTGTGATTTTTCCTCGACATAAACCCACAAAGTGTTCCATTTCTATGAGGGATTCAACAGACGCATCAGTAAGCACTTCATCGACTGTCACAATAAACTGGCTTCGAGTGCGACCTTGGTTGTCATACCAACCTGTTGTACTCTATCGCACCTCCAACGCGACTTCTCATTGGTCAATTTTCACACCGACAGAAGAACACAAGTCGGATGGAAAAGCCAACGAGTATATAAGACCGCTTGTCTAGGTTAACACGGGAGAAAGTATGACAACTGAGGTGCCCCGGGCGTTTTTAGATGAACTCATTATGGTGAACCTATATAGCGGTTGCTGAAAACTGACATGAATAATCAAAGCAATCGGCAGAACGGCTATCAAGAATGTCACAGGGACACGTCACAAAAACGAATTTAGGTTGAAAACTCAATTAACGGCAGTATCCAATTTCTGAAATCATTTTTGCCACGTAGAATGCTGTGATCAGAACAGAAAAAATACCACTTATGCGCATCACTCTATCCAAACCACCTTCTTGTCAATCGACCTGATGCAGTCTCCGTCAGCGACGCCGAAAGTAGTTTATGCTACGGATTGTGCTCCGCCACTCAGACGGTCGACGTAGCATGAGTGAAGTAAACGTGGACGGATTTATTAGGCAGGGAAGACCAACCTCTGTGTACACATTCAAAGAAGACTACGTTAGGTTGGTCTAGTCCCCGAATTTCAAACAAGCTTATTCTGCGCCTGAACACCAAATTGTACGTCTGTTGCGACAAACATGCGTTTGCGGATTAGGTTGATACTGGCAGAGGATTCGGCTGAAGTTCACTTAAATCCCTCATTTAAGCTATTCTTCATGTTAACAGTGGAGTGCCAGAGCTGATGTATTAAGCCATATCATTTGAGAGACTATAAACGGAGAAATACAAACTTGTGTACATTAAACGTATGACTGCAGCACAACAAACGCTTACATGTTAACGACGCTAACTCGTCCTATTCACAGTGTGAACTGCTCCAAGTCACTCCTTTTAAGGGGAAAGTCCAGATATAGTTACACAAGCTATTTCCCATGAGTATTGTTCGATTTCAAGCACCCATCAAATTTCGAGGTATCAAATCCGAGTAAATTCAGTTATCCCAGTATACGCGGGTGTGCGGCGGAATGAACTAACTACGGCCCCCGCTGGAACCTCGTGCGGCGAAATCAATAAGGTTTCGGGTACGTAGTGATGGGGATAGAAAACACCTGCCGATCAACTCCTGGAGCAACCATAATCCTCACCACACCCGGCTGTAAATATGCCCTCAGCCACTGTTCCGTTGGTGGGCACATGGAATGACCGATTCCAACATCTGGCAGCTACATGTTACAACCGACTGCCGGCTCAATAGAGAGCAAACGCTGCAATTTGAACGAAGGGCATATCTGTCTGAGGAGTCAACCGACACAAACAGAAGAGCAATATGTTCAATCTCAATTCGAAAGCAGCTTTTTGCACAGACAGCTGTTTTCATCCGCGAGGTCGTTTCAAGATAGCCAGCAAACGAGTTTACGTCCCGTAGAATCACCAGACCCAAGCGCAAACTACTCGCCATTCGCGGAAATGCTGTGGTGTTTCCACAGCGATGAAACATTTAGCACCAATACACAGGTCATAAGCAGCCCGCTTCTTGTTCGCATTGAGAACGATACTCTCCTCAGTATGCATAGCACGCCAACAAGCTCCCGCAGCCTATGACGCTGAATTCGTCATTCGCTTAAGCTGTGTGCCACAAAAATTCTCATATCCACAAGGTTGTAACCTAGACCATGGAACAAATGAAACGCTTTTTTCCTAGTCAGAATCGAAATCAATAATGCAGATCGAAAAAATTTACGAGACGAGTAGAATGAGGATGAGGCTGCTGAATGACTATTTGGAACCGTACAACTACTTCTTAATACCGTGAACTCAAAAACCAGTCATTACACGTAAACATAGGTTATTATCTCATAATAAAAAAGTTTGGATCACAATTAAGATGTACGATCTTGGGTAATGCAAACCAGGATAAGTAACAAAACGTTACAAAAGATGAAACCATTTGAAGTGGTTGATAATGAAACAATGGGAAATGTACATATCACAGTTATTTCACCGTGTGTAGAAGCGTGTCACTGGGACAGAAGTTAATGTAAAGAAGGCCCGAAATAACTCAAGAGACTGGACGCCGAATCCGGAAGCAAACATGAGAGAAGCACTATTTTATGGCAGGTTCATGGTCGTCAGAAAATGTGGACCACTCATGCACAGAACAATTCCACTTGTAGAAGGTTGAAAGAATCTCTGCAGGGACACCCTCGGAGTGAACACAGAAGTTTGATGGTTGGAGAGAACCCCAGGTTGACGAAGACAGCAGATCCGTTGATATAGGTGCAAGGGGGAATAGGAAGAACTGTGTTTGTGCGACTTGCCCGCTGTTGGCTCGTGCATGCACTCGCCAAAGGCCATCAGTAATGGAGCAATTGTGTAGGACAGAGGTCAACGGCACTACCAAAAGAAAACAGCTCGGACAATCGAATACACTGAGCACGTGCTTCCCCTCACCTAAAGATAGGGTGGAATGGCCGACACATGAAGGATGACTATGTGCTGGACTTATTGTGATGGCAACTGTAGAAAGTTGTCTCGGTTGACGTCCTGGTGCAGCAATTTCTCCTTTCCACATGACAATAAGTTGGAGTGTGTCCGCCGTGGTCAAAAGACGAGGATAGTTCCGGACGAGCTGTTCTTTTCCGTCAAACATTGTGGCCACCTACAAACAGTGCAAAAGAGAAAAGAAATACCAAGTCCATATCACATTGTGCGAAACCAAAATGAGTGATACATCGAAAATAATAAGGTTAGCACTGGGAAGAGGTAGTGGAAGACCTGGAGGAGACCTCCGAGTGAGGAGGAATGCGGCCACTAAAGACAGTATGTGCTTGTCTCCGCCATAAAATTCGCCACACCGCTAGATCAGATGCCTCTAACCCTTAGCGTGACAGTGATTTGCATTTCAGATAGGCGGAAAGTAAACAGGCGAAGCTAGAATAAATGAGTTATAGAACAAGTCCACCATTTTGCCTGGGCAAGTTACCTTACGCCCAATCTCCGGTTTGGATGGTCGGTGGGTAAAAGAATGAGCAGACGCAGAAGACATGTGTTTGCCTCCTCCCACGTTATCATAAAGAGGCACAAGTTGCATTACAGTCGATAAAAATCCAATCGATTGAACTCAGGAACACGAGTACTGAAGACCTCTCACAAGTCATGCGTGCAGACAGTTTTGGATGGCCGCAAAAGGCGTTTCGAACTAACAACCAGACCTCTCATGTTTAAGAACTCTACTGGTACTCCCCTAGTAACGCACATTTACCTGTTATGTAAACACGGATATAACAAGCTGATAGCGACGGCGAAACGAGCCACTCAAGTTTTTTTGTCTCTGGCACACAAACCACAGCTAACTGAGGCTTGACCTACACGCAAGTTGCTTCGCCATAGGCACCCCTTTACTGTGGTGATATGTGATTCACGTAGGGGCTTGTTGGGCGCTCGGTATTCGTACAATTGAATGGAATTTTCGAAGGCTATGATGTGTCCCTGATGGACTAAAGTGGTCGGGCAATTGAGTCGAGAGTATTAGTCCAAACTTTTGAGTACCATTTAGGCATCCCGGGGTCTCAGCGATGCTGGCAAATTATTCCAACAGATTTTTCCGCCAGAGGTATGATTGCTTCAGTGGACAATGAAATTTGGTGAGCTGCGAAAATATGAACGTAGATGAGAATGTTTTTTGGTTTGATCACACACGCAACAAAACGCAACATTTTGGCGCAAAGGTTTTGCAGCTAAGAGTATTGTGCAGCTAACGGCCTCCGGCTTGTTGCGCTTGACAAGACCCAAGTGAAAACAAAGCAAACGAGTGAGTCACAGTGTGAGTAGACAAGAAACTGACCTCTAGATAAATTACGTCGCCCAATTCAACCTGGGAAACAGGAATTTCGGAAGTCCACAAGAGCGACGGCGGTTGTAGGAGGATTTCCAAGATAAGGGAGTAAGGAGCGACACGACCAGCAGTGATCAATACGGGAGCCCTCAAAACCAGTTTCGGCGGATAGTGTCTCAGGGAAGGGAATTCCTCATTTAAACTAAGCCGTTGGTAAGTTGCGTTGAAAAGCGCGAAAGCGTCTAGGTGTTTGTGGAAATCAGCTGTGGAAGGAAATAGATGAAACTCCTATTCGGATAGTTACATAAGATATGAGGCGAAATGTGGGGAAATCATTGGGGTTGGAAAACCCATCGATTCTGAAGTGAGTTGAGTTAAAGGATAAGACAAGGACATTTATGGATAAGTTTCAAAAATTTGATTCCGAGTAGTCCAAAAGTTGTCCGACCATGATAATCCATGTATCCCCAGCTTAAACGTTTAGGCAGCTGCATTAGATTAAAACTAGGTCTCTAAATCCGACGGTAGACAGACACATTTAGATAGTTCGCAGAGAAACTGATGTGTGGTTTGCTGTACGTGCGAACCAGAGCACAGCGTGCAAGAGCTGCTCAAACGTATGCAAAAGTTGAAGGTCTTACAGTTGACAGATACATTCATATGAAAGTGGGCGTCCAGAAGGTTACCGCTGTGCTTGATCGAACTGCAAAGCCTGTCGTATCGGAAAGTTTCGTTCTTGCTTGGAAGGACGGAAAACACGCATTCTAAGCATTTAACAGCCGTCTAGATAGGAATTAGCATGAAACAACTCAAGGTACACCACAGTTTTCTAATTTACTAGTCTATCGTATTTCAGCCACCAGGTTTGACAGTTATCAGATGTTTTGTTTGGACAACCAGCAATAGTGGTCTAATTAAGTCAAAAACAGTGAAAAACGCAACTCAAAAGCCAGTTGATCAGCTGACACCAGGTAATCGCGTGAACTGTGCACAGACAGCGGCTAGGCTACAACGTAAGGGAGTCCTCTAAGCTCAACTGACAAATCCAAGTAAGGGCCACCAGGCACTAAAACGGCTCACGCTGGCCTCAAAATACAGTAATTCTCCAAAACGAGGATCCTTGGTGGGTCCACGGCGTTACCCCTCAACTACCATAGAGTATGCAACCTGCTGAAGATAGACTTCCAGAGGGACCAGATATCTCTTTTCTCAATCGTGGATGTCTTTGAAAGACCACTGAATTGGTTTGATAATTAGTCCAGTCATCGCCAAACAGACCAAATAGGGGCATTTAAAATGTATCATGTACTCCAGGCCGTAGGATTTTCCGTTGGACTGCATGAACCAAAGCAGAGTATCAAAGCGTTAGCATACACAGACTTCTATTGATGATACCAGATTGGTCGTCAAAGAACTCCCCTTAGAGATATTGGGATGTTCCCGTCATAGAAGCGGCCTCGTGAAGACTGACTAATAAGAACTGTATTGCAAAAATTACACAATCAATGTCCCAATGGGGCATCTCATCATACTACTGGTGAACTGTGTTTTACTACCTTCAACTTTTTTAAGCTGCAAAGAACAAACGAAAGTATATACTTGTGTGCGCAAATGGGGTCCAAATTACAGATCTCTTTAGAGAGTAGCCACTCCTAATCAATCCTAGAAAAACGTACTGTGAAGCGAGGACTACTACAGTATGAAAACAGAGGACTTACACGGTGTCGTAATCGGAGACGAAATAGTAACCAAGTTCTCTAGCTGCCGCAGCTGAGCCTCAAAGATTGCAGGCATGATAAACCGAAGAGATGTGCTATCAGCCTCCAATTCACCGGAATAGATGTTCTCGAGGTAGAATTGTCGGGTTGACTGGTCTGGAAAGCGGATAGAATAAAATAATAATCAATAATCGTTGGGCTGTAACATTCTTTCGGTGTCTTGCTGTTACGCAACTCGAAGCATGAGGGCTAAGATACTGTCCGGTTGTCCAAACCTAGACATAAGCAGTCGAGTTGCTGCGGTTTGGTTCGAACCAAGGACCTTCCGGTCAGTAAGTTCGCACACTAATCACTGAGCTATCTCGAGCTCAAAGTATTATTCAGCACTCAGATTCAGCGGAAGTAATCGCGCCGGTAGCACCATGACCACAGCACCTGGCAAAAAAAACAGTTTTGCCACTATTCATAAACGATTGAGTAATGTGTCCTCTGTATACACAATACTGGAGCCACACAACACTGAAGCAGTTGTGTCGCGCCAAAGGAGGCTTTCTTGAGTAATAGACGTAACTGCACATACCAAGCTGGCGATGCGACTAGTTGATCGTACATCGTAACACTTCCTACCATTTAGACGAAAACCCCGCTGTTGGAAAATCCCCACTTGTTCTAACGCCACTCAATGCGTGGCCCTTGTCCTCTAG